GCCGTCATATTCCAGACATTCACAATATGATGAGAGTTTTAATCAAAGTATCTGTCGTATCTTGTAGGTGGCGATCAAACACATCCCCAAAGATTACATTTACTGCAACCATATGATAAGTGAGCAGCACTTTTTGTGAATATTTTTAATCTGCAAACTAACTCCTTGCTGGGTTTGAAATTATTTAAAGGCTTATTTTCCCTCACCCTCAATTTTTTGTTGTGATTTTTCAGGATGAGAATGGAAGGCAGCTTTCTGCAGAGGTAGCGACCATGCTAAAACTCCAGACCAGTACAAGCAGGTCAGTGGGGATGTCAGCTCCGGTTTCCTTGCTTGACTGGTATGATATAGGAAGAGAACTCATCATCGTGATGGAGAGACCGGTTCCTTCTGAGGACCTCCTTAAATACACTGAAAAAAACGGAGGTACCCTCAAGGAAGACAAGGCCAAGGTAAGCTGATGAACAAGCTTTGGGAGTTTGTGTGTAATTCAGAGATATTGTCAATCATTCTGCTTTTTCATCATTTCATGTTGGTTGGAGAGTCAGAACGTAGAACATGTCACACCACCACCCTGACTTCTTCAGCTGCTGACATTTAGATGTTCTCCTCTTTCAGATTATACTAAAGCAGCTGCTTGATGCTGTCATGCACCTTCAGCGTGAAAGCATCTTTCATCGTGACATCAAACAGGAAAACATTTTGATTGAAACCGGCTCCGAATTCCCAAGACTTCGCTTGATCGACTTTGGAATGAGCTGCATGGATAAATATGGAACCAGCTACTATGAATTTTATGGTAAGATTGTTTAACTTCAAAATAATCTGTAATTCTCAAGTGCCTTTTAAAACTAGAGCTCCTCTTTTCATTGTCCTTTAATTATTCCCTGTTTCAAACTTCTTTCAGGCACCCCTCTTCACGTCCCTCCTGAATTGTTGTTTCAGTTTACGTATAGTGCTGAACCAACAACAGTTTGGCAGCTCGGAGTGGTCCTGTTCGAGATTCTCCACAAAGGATCATTCAGCTCCACGATGTTCCTCAGCAAACAGATTGGGATCAGTAACCATCTCTCTGAAGGTAAGACAAATACTTGTGCTCATGTCTCACAGTTAGACAGCAGTTAACAGTTACACACCAGATAATCCTGTAGAAATGAAATGAAACTGTACATGTAGAAAGGTTGTTTGACTGTACTGCACAGATTTCAAAACCAGAACAAATCTGGAGTTGGCAGTACAGACAAATAGTTAGTCCCATGTCAGTAGGGGTGGGCACCACGTTGAACTTAATTGCAGTCTACTGTAATCCTAATCTTTGTCATGTTTTTCCATCCAGATTGCAGAGATTTACTGAAGAGATGTTTGAACGTGTCCCCAGAAGAGCGTCCCACCCTGGAGGAGCTTCAGCATCACCCTTGGTTCACGTGAAACACACACACACACATTTTTAAAAATTCATGGGCTGCATGGTGGTAGTGTTAGCACTTTGCCTCACAGCAAGAAGGTTTCCAGTCTGAATCCCATCTGGGGCCTCTCTGTGTAGAGTTTGCATGTTCTCCCCATGCATGCGTGGGTTTTCTCTGGGCTCTCCAGTTTCCTCCCACACTCAAAAAACATGCTTGTTTTTGTGTGTCAGAAACAAATTTGAAAAGATTAATTTTATCCCCTTTTGTCTGTTTTTTCATGTTGTTTTGAGTTTTAGGTGATAGAGAGGATTAACAGTCCCAGGGCAGCGCCGCACCTGTACAGCACCTTTGATGACATCACACACCTCAACAAAAAGTCACACCATCCCAATGTGGTCTCTCTTGTAAATGAGTCCTCGAGGCTCAATGGGATTTACCTGTATAAATAAAGGTTGATTGATTGATATATTTAAAATTTACATAAATAAACAAAATAAGATTATAAATACTAGTATGTGTTTTTTACATTTATAAATATGTATCTTTTACTTTTACCTTACATTTACTATAACTTACATTTAAGATTATATACTAATATTTGTGTATAGATTTTATTCCCTGTGAAAAAACAAACAAACATTGAATTATATTAAATCAGGGGTTCCCAACCCTGGTCCTTGAGGAACACCATCCTGTAGTTGTTTCTCTGCTCCGACTTACCTGATTTTAATAAATGGGTGATTTACAGGCTTCTGCAGAACAGGAGGAAATAATGAAATCACTGAATCAGGTGTGTTGGAACAGGGAAAAATAATAAAACATGCAGGATGGTGTTCCTCAAGGACCAGGATTGGGAACCACTGCAAAAAATATCTTTATAGTAATTAATTTAATTTAATTATTATGCGTCACTCCAATCATCAGTAACATTTGTATTTGTCTTAATGGTTTTCAGACCGTTGAAGAAACATCTTACAAAAAATCCCAGAGCAACATCCTCATCTGGAACATGGAACAGCTGCAGTCATCCATTTCTCAGGTTAGTCAGAGCAACTACAGGAAAATGTTTATCTTTAAGCTCTTTGTTTGCATACTTCAACTTTTCTTTGTGTTTTTCTTGCCCATAGAATTGTCTCCTGGGTCTGGGACTTCTGAGTTCGACTGCAACTCTTTCCCGTCCTGTCAAACCATGAGGTTTGGCCGAGGCAGATGGCCGCCCAACCTGATCCTGGTCGGCTGGAGGTTTCTACGGGTTTAAAACCGTTGCCTCATGAAAGGAGACTGAATCAAATTCAAAATGCAAGAAGTTGCAACTTGAATATTTGATTCAATCTGCTGGTTTCTTTTCATCAAAAAAAACTTGGCAATTTTCAATAAATTGCTAAAAATGGATTTAAGTTGAAGTTTTTTTTTAATCATAGTAATAAGACAAGAAAATTATCCCTGGGTTTAATGATATAGCACATTTAATCATGTGCAAGAGTACCACCAAACTAATCTTTGTCAAATATGATAAAATGACAACAAAGAAACGAACAAACGAAAACAATGAAAACTTCAAAGAAAAAAGTAGTAAAACCGTTTATAAAAATTACAAAGTGTAAAATCTAAAGAGCAGGTTGGCTCTGAATTTAGTCAAATTGTCACAGTTTTGGATGTTAAAACCCTGGAATAGAATGACATGAGGATCCCGAGTTAATTAAGATCTTTGAAGAAAACAGAACAGCTCTCATGGCTGCAAATATCTTGGAAAACTGCTTGAGGAGACACAGAGAAGAAAATCTCAAGGAGGCACAAGGAGGACCGGACACGACATGAAGCTCAACAATGGCAGGCTGATGAGAAAAAGGAAACAGACCCAACATGAACACAGGGTTCATAATATTTCATGAAAACTGATTTATCTCATGTTTTCCTGAGTAAATCCTGCAATTCCAGGAGATTTTTCGTCACACAAAATACTCAGAGCTTCTGGTGTTAGAGGGCAGCCAAAGGATTGTTGCAGTGAGTGATTTAACACTTGAGCGTGACACAACTGTGTTGTTTGATTTCTCAGAGTGTGATGAACTGAAACCAGGAAGACTCAAGAGACGGAAGGAATTCAAGGTTCAAGTTCTTTATTGTCATTCACATCAAATGTGGGACATGAGTTATTAATAACTCGTCAATAAAATATCTCTGTAGCAGATAGGGTCATTAGTTATGATTTATAATTTTATTAGAATTATGGGGCACCACCCTTTTTTAGGGAATTGAAAAATTTTATTAACAATGGAGTCTCAAGAATAACCAAAGTATACGAGTTCTTTTCGTGCTGTTATATCTTATTTATATTAAAACACACCAACACTGGTTTATGTTAGCCACCATTCATGTTATGTTTATTTTGCATATGGACATATTAAAAACAGCAATAGCATATGAAAATAAAACTGGCAATATTGAAGGGAAAAACAAGATAATATAGCTTTTGAACTTTGAGAAGGAATGTTTACATAAAGTTAGACTAAATTAAAAGAGAAGTTCTGTAAAAATCTGAGATTGGCGGACTAAAAATAAAGTATAAACTAAGCTGGCACTTTGAGGTGGTCTTGGTGGGTGGAAGGAAATATCTCCTACCAGAGATCATCTGTTCTTCTTCAGTTATTGTAGAAGATGCTGAGCAGAAAGGCAGCTGGTGGGTTTTAGTCTGTCCTGGGAGTGGATCCTCTCAAGGACCAGACAAAGTCTTGGGCTGCATGGCTCCGAGGGTTTTTCTGAGTTATTTCGCGTGTCGACCTTCTCTCTCCTCTCCAAACACACATGACGACCTCAAAACAAGACAAGACGAGACTCCTCTGAGTGTCAGCTTAACTCATTCTAAAAGGGGGCATGTCCATTTTAAAATCTTATCCAATCAGGGCAGCTTGAGCAACGAGGCTGTGATCAAATCTTAAACTGCTGCGTTTATTTGAGCAAGACAATCTGTCAAAGTCAAGGAAGAAATAAGAAATAAATTTTCTTTTGAGTAACTTCAACTATTAATAAAATTCATTAAATAAAATATACCATACCATACCATACCATTTTATTTATAGAGCACTTAAAACAGCGACAAGGCCAACCAAAGTGCTGTACAGACAGAACAACAGGTAACACACAAAGCAATATACAAAATGAAGTAAATCAGAATATAGACATAAAAACGATGCAGATAATGACGACAAACCAGTGTGAAGCGTACAGGTTCAAAACACAGATCATCTGGTGTTGAAAGCTACTGAATAGTAGTGAGTTTTTAAACGGGACTTGAAAACCGAGCGGAAGGGGGCCTGTCTGACAAGCAGAGGTAACTCGTTCCAGAGTCTTGGTCCTGCTACAGAGAAGGCCCTGTCACCTCTGCGCTTAAGACAAGTTCCTGGAACTGTGAGGAGCAACTGGTCCGCTGACCTCATATATACAGGGGCTGTACTGTACTGGTAAGTGTCTGTGGAAGAAGAATGTGGATGGAGTTTTCTTTAAAGATAGAGGATCTTCTGGAAAAGATGTGCTGGTCTGTGGAGCTGACCAGCGCATCTTTTCTGGATGAGCTCAACACCTTCTATGCCCGAATTGATGCAAATACCACGCTTGCCACCAGACCACATAGACAGTGAGGATGCTACACTCTGTTTAGACACTGCTACAGTGAGATGGGCGTTCAAGAAAGTAAACCCTCACAAGGCACCAGGGCCTGATGGCATCCCAGGACGGGTGCTGAGAGTGTGCGCTTACCAACTCACCAGGATGTTTACCACCATCTTTAACCTGTCTCTGAGCCAGTGTATTGTGCCCACAGTCTTCAAGACCTCAACTGTTGTCCCCATCCCAAAGACCTCTGCAGCATCCTGCCTTAATGACTTTCGGCCCATAGCACTCACATCTGTCATCATGCAGTGCTTTGAGCAAATTATCAAGACTCACATCTGTGCTTCCCTCCCTGACCACTGCAAAAAGGAGATACAATCACACATCTCTACAGAACATTATGATTTATAAAAGAGGTTATAAATTGGCACGCTGTCAAAATAGAAGATGGACTCAGTGATACTACTAACATGTCAAAATCTCAGAAAGATCATCTTTAAATCATCAAATTAGTTTTCAAATTCTGTGAATTTTCCCAAAGTTTTGATGTTTTTTTTCCTCAAATTTCTTGAGTTTTCCTTGTCTGGAAAATGTGAAAATGATTTTCCAGGTTTTTCCTGTTTTCCAGAGTATCTGGGAACCCTGTAATGGTGAAGTAGAAGATAAAGTAATTACAACTGGGAATAATGGAACTTGAGACTCACGTGGATGGTGTGGCAGGCAGAATGGATCAGTGCTGACTGAGAAGAAACTGAGAAATGAACTGAACGAACATGGAGCAATACGAATAAAAATAAACACTAAATTTAAAGTTTAATTAAAAGCATAAGTATTCCTCATTTAATCTTAATGAAACATAGAAAATTATCTTGGATATAAGAGTCAAAAAACATTCAGATACTTGAACTAATCTCAAACAACTGTCAAATATTACACCATAAAATCCAAGAACACTAAACAAAATAAACCACTTCTGCCTTGACTTTATCAAAATAAAGACAATTTTAATTTTGTTTATATCATGAGCTGAATCTTGTTTGAACCCAAATGCAGACAGGACTTGGAGAACTCAAGAATAAAGTAAAATACAATTTACTTAAATTAACCAATGGGCTGAAGTGGCATCCAAACTTACTTACAGTGAGTACAAAGAGACAGGGTGGAAAACAACAAGATGTCTTAACTGGACAATCCATGTACCGTACAAAAAAGAAGACACAAGGATGAACAATATACACTTTAAACACTAGCAAGGGAATGATCACTAACACCTGGGGAAGTGTAACGACACACGTGACAGAAGCAGGAGCTGGAACTTGATTACATGAGGGAGAGCAGGAACACACAAGGATCACAAAACACACAAGACACCCAGATCCTCTCAGTACCATGTAAATGTTCAACAAGCGCTACAGGAACATATAAGTGTTGTATCATTACGTGCAGAATGGTTTGAATAACATTTAAATAATATTTTAAAACAACTGCAAAAAGGAAAATTATATATTTTATGTAATAACGTACTCATATTCTTGAGTTTCTTCAGTGTTCAGTTCTGGATGAAACCTTTTTACTGCGAGTCAACTTTATCCAGGCTATTCAATAAAACTTCAGGTTTTGAGATCAACTCCTATTTTGGTTGACAAGTACGCCTGTTTCAGCTTGCAGCTTTCCTTAGTGGAGCTGAGGCAAAAAAAGTTTGCACGTGTGATTAAAGTCCAACTGACTGAAATGATAAAAGAAAGAAAACAAGTTGGATGTCCATCGACAGAAATAGGTTATCACGATATAAAATGCTGCAAATCACAAACATTTTTAAGAGACTGAGCTGAATACAGCACCTCAGACTGAGGAAGTCTTTCGGATGAGAGACGAAACGTATCTACATTTTTTTGCTTTGTTTGGTTTTTTGAATGTCCAGAGGACCAGATTGAACTTTTTTGGATTTTTCTACCTGGATTATTGAGCATGCATCAAGATAACACCCCAGTGGCTTTTAAACTCCCCCAAAAAAATTACAGCTAAGACTGGTTCATCCCAAAGATCCAGTCCCCTGGCACAGAGTAATAATGTGTATGCTGTTCAGTGTCAGGAGGGCTGTGATCAGTCTTACATTGGGAAAACTAAACAGCCACTGGCTAACAGAAAGAGACGTCATCAACATGCACTGCAGCATGGCAGCTCTGATGAGAGCTCCACTTCAACTCACACTTTTTTTTTGTTCAATGTTGTTTGTGTTTTGACTTTTTGTACCTGCACTGCACTGCATGCTACAGGTATGACCGTTTTTGCAATTGCGATTGACAGTGAGTGGGAAATTTGGACCGACTTTTGGGGAGTTCACAGCAGACATTTTTCTCTTGGGTTCTTTGTTCATCTGGGCACCATAAGAGGAAAACATGGAGAGAGAAACAAGCCGGTGTTTTGTGCAGGACCAGCCAGAGATGCAGCAAACCGCCCTCAGTCCTGCTTTTGGGTGTTCAGTCTCTGAGGTGTGGACTGGATGACCTGTGCACACGGATTTATTGCGAGTGAGACATGAGCAGCTGTTGTGTCTTTGCCTTTGTGGAAGCATGGCTGGAGCCATCCATCCCTGAATCTGTTGTGGCTCCGGATGACTTCTCTGTCTACCAGTTCCACAGAACTGAGTCACATCTGTAACACCTAGTATGCTTATTGCTGCTGCACTATATGGCTGTATCATGTGTGTCGCTTCCTTGTCATCGTGGTTCAATTCATCTCAATGTTGCTCACTGTCTGTGCAGTGGCCTGTCATTCAACCTTTATTTATACAGATAAATCCCATTGAACCTCAAAGACATTTACAAGTGAGACCTGTCACACAATCTATGTGGTGTGTGTTGTGTGCAATATGTATCATGTGTATTTAAGCACTGTTACTGCCTGTGAGGTACTTGTTTGTATTGATTCATCCTACTTGCACTATTGTATTCTACCATGTTGTCTACTATCTTTCTTTCAAATATTGTAGCTGTTGTATTTATTTATTTTTTTCACTTTTTGGAGCTTTGTTTTGTACTTTTGTTGCATGCTTTGGTATTTCTTGTTGTTGTTTTTTTTTTTTTTTTGATGAGTCGAGACGGTTCTTCTTGTCCTGAGCATTTCGGTGCATTGTTGATCGTGTGTTGAATTGCATAGAACAATACATAAGAAATATAAACTAATAAACTATAAGTGCAACATCATCAGGCCAGAACTCTGCAGGCCAGCAGTCACTCTTTCAGGAAAGGTGGGCGCATCCTTGATAGAGAGAAACGTTAGTCTGAGTGAGGAGTAAAAGAAGCCATCATTGTGAAGATAACTTGTCCATCGTTAAACAGGGACACAGGCCTCCGTGTTCTGTCACCCTCAGCCCTCTGCGTCTAGCACGTGGTGTATTGGCAATGGCATCTGATTCTCCAAGTTAACAGCTAATGTTGAGTCAAGCCAAATGAAACAGTCCTCGTTATCTTAACAGATTGGGTACACATAAAGTAATGAGAGGAGACAGAAGAAGAGCGAGTGGGACTCGCAGCAGGGCAAGCTGCAGCAGTGACATTGGGGTAGCTGAGTGTGTAACCTGTGCCATTTAAAAGATGCTTTGTGTCCTTATCAAAGTCTAACAATAAAAAAAGAAAGAGGACTCGCGTTTGTGTCACTTGAGAACATACACCGAGAGGGGAGACAGTCAAGGAGGGATTCATTCAGTGAACAACCTGCCAATTTGCACATGCACACACAGAGAATTGATGCCGAGGAGTGATTCGTTCAATTAGTACTGTGCTGGAAGTGGCACTGTGTCACTCACTCGCATACTACATGAATAAACTGCATGAACTGAAGGATTCAGTGAACAAATCTTTTGAACAAATCATTTTAATGAACTGATTCTAGGGATTCAGCACACTGAAAAGAACTGCTGTCCCTATCACTAGTTCCACGTATTGCAGTTATGAGACATGGTTACAATAAATATAGGTGAAGTTTAATAAAGAATAAAAATAAATACATAAATACTGTACAATAAGCAGAAATGTTATTTTGATGCAAAGGCACAAATAAAACAAGGCCAGGCTAGCAAAAAGAAAAATGACTGAGAGGCTGACACTTTGATTAAAAACAAATTGTGATCAACATGTTTCCTCACCAGCAGTAGCAGGATTTGTATTATTTCACGGAGCATCCGATGAAATCAAACAGGAAGAGAAAAAAAAACTGCTTCACTTTCTTCATAAGCAATTCAGAGTTTCAATAAGCTCACTTTGAGGTACATTCACGTCAATATGGACTGAGATGAGCATAATAAAACATGTACTTCTCATAATCTTAATTTCCTCTCAGAGCTGAAAGGTTTGGACATTTTCCATTAGGCCTTAGACCACAAACAAGCTTTGGTTGGCCACAACCTGCTGCTGCTTTTGTGATGCCGGGTATAAGGACACGTTAATGGGCCTCAGTCGATAACATTTTTGCCACACTGCTCTGTTTTGTAAGAGCGCTCCAGCAACGCTCTGATGTACTGGACTTATAGGAAGATTAATGCAGATCAGCACTCAGCTTTGACTGATGTAGTGTTTTCCTGTCGTTACAACTTTCTTCAGAATTCATTTACAACTCAGCACTCCTTAAAAGAGGAGTGGTGGGTTGTAAATGATCTGTTGATTCTGTTGCTGCAGTTTGGCTTTCAATCTCAGCAGAATTATGATGGATGGCGAAATTTGCAATCAAATAAAATAATGTTAAAACAGGTGGAGAAAAACATTCAGATTGGAAGAAAAGCTGAGAAAGGAACCTACTGTAACTGTGTGTGTGTGTGTGTGTGTGTGTGTGTGTGTGTGTGTGGGGGGGGGATAACCAAATGTGTATTTTAGAACTCCAAGTGAATGTTCAATGTTCATCTTCAAGAAGAAGAAACTGTATCAGAAAGCATTTACTTTACAAATTATTAAGGAACTCCTCCCAACAATTTCCTGGAATTCCTTTCCTGGAACACTCACCTAATGCCAAAAGGTGAGGGATGATATTTGTCTTGATGTGTATGTCTAATACCAAATACAGAAGTCCCTCCTTTATCGCGGGGTTTTTTGTTCTCTACCATCTAAAGCACTAGTAGAGTGCTGTATAAATGGGTAAATGAGGACACAGATTGTAGTGTAAAGCGCTTTGAGTATCATGAAATAAGATAAAAAGGCGCTGTATAAGTACAGTCCATTTACCATTTACCCCCTTGCAAGAAGTGGAAAAACCTCAAAGTAGGAACAGTAGTGCAAGTAGTAAGTAGTTGTTTATTTCAGTATACATAATATAT